CCTCTGTGGGGGAGGTATGGATATTTTCTGGAACTACACAATATATCCTCCTCAGACCCTCCCCACCCCTTGGAACTTCCAATCCCCCTCTGTGGGGGAGGTATGGATATTTTCTGCAACTACACAATATACCCTCCTCAGACCCTCTTCACCCCTTGGAAATTCCAATCCCCCTCTGTGGGGGAGGTATGGATATTTTCTGGAACTACACAATATACCCTCCTCAGACCCTCTTCATTAATCAAACTAATAATTAATTGTAATAAATATTGTCTATAGATCTAAAGTCTATGTTTAGTGTTCTGTTTGCAAATTGGTTATAATAAATATAATTTTAGTGTATTATGTCGTGATATGAAATTGTTCTCCCAGAAATGAAAGAAATGCATGGGAATGATGATGAAAATCAATCAGGAAAAGATAAGGATGTTAAAAGAAAAGATTCCCCATTAAATCCAGATGAAACGGTTCAGACTGATCACCATAAAGAGAAACCTGAACCACGTAGGTATCTGTTTATAGACTATGCAAACATTTTCCGCCACAAATACTTAACCCTACTTTATACCGAATGTTCTTGAAATCTTTTCCATGCTGCTCTAGGTCCAGGGTTAGGACCTGATGCTAATAAGCCACCATGTCGTAAAGCTAAATTGATTAGAAAAGAAAGAAAACGACAGAAACTTGCTGCCAGTGGAGTTGAGGTAAAATTGTTGTTCAGGGTATACCAAAAACCAGCTCTATGTTCCACTTGAGATGTTGATGATGTTGATAATGATGATGATAAATAATGATGGTGATGATTAAAGATGATGATAACGGTGATGATGATGTTGTTGATGATGATGGTGGTGAGGATGATGATTAAAGCTACATGTTTTGTTTTACAGTGTGACTCGGCCTATACCCAAGCAGGCCACCAGAACACCGCAAAGTCATTGGAAGACTTATTATTTGAGTATTCCAAACATTCAAATATTCTACACAAACTTGAGGTAAGTGCTCAAAATTTCATACTTATTTTGTGACTAAGAGCTTGAAAAATACCCTTAAATATAATTGATACCC